ATTCGGCCGAGTTTTCACGGTAGACCTGTCCTGAAATCGGAAAGCGGTGACGCAACCGTGCGCAGTGACGTCACAGACTGGCTTCCGAAACGCCGGCAACATTGAATAAAGAGTCAGAAGGAAGGAGCATTTTTTTCAGTTTTCTTGCCTAGGATGAGGAATTGAATACTCAGAAAGATGTTTCCGAATGTAAGAGAAGGAAGGTTTTCATTTTATATTCAATTCAAGGCTGTACCTATTACAGAAATCGTTTTGGAACATAAAGATTGCCTTTATAAAGCTTGCAAGTAACCTTGGAGTAACCATACCTTTGAAGACATTTATTTCGATGCTTGATATTACTATCAAAAATAACCTTTCTTGAGAAAATCACGTGAGATCAATTGCTAAACTGCATTCCAAGAACTTGGTTTTCTGTTTCGGGCCAGGAGCTATTTCACTTCCAGTCAGCTGCTTATGATCGATAAGGCACAGATCCGACCTGTCCTGGAATACTGTTCCCATATTTGGAGTGCAGCACCCAAATATACCCTGAGACTATTGGATTCTGTTCAAAATGGGCAATTCGTCTCGTGGGTGATGCCTTGCTCACAAATTCACTCACTTCTCTGGAACACCGTAGAAAAGTTGGCGTTCTGGCCCTACTTTATAGATATTTTCATGGACGATGCTCTTCTGAAATATCAACAACAGTTCCTACCTTTACAGTCCCCGCGAGATTAACCCGACGAGTTGAGGCTTCGCACCCCTTCGTGGTCACTTAGGAGACTGCAGAACATCTCTTTCCAAAGACTCGTTCATCCAACGAACAGCGAGGCTCTGGAACACATTGCCAAGGAAAGTGTTGCCCGAGGCATATGACCTCCAGAAGTTTCTACCTTACTCCCCTTTGTTCTCACGATGTTCTCTGATCATTACAGGATATCCCTTTTCGTGGGAATTAAAAACTACTCAACTGACCTACTCAACCTTCTCATATTCTTTTCGTATTATTCTCAAACAACACATGTAGTACAAATTGGTCAATAGGGTCCTGATTTGAATTTGATGCAATATGCTTTCAATGTGAAAAAACGCCCCTCTCAGAACTTTGTTCTGGCAGTGCCCATAAATATTACCTAATAGTCAAATCATAGAAACCATCTTACCATCCAATCTTTTTTGACTCCTTAACAATGTCCATAATTTCTTTTAGGTACTTCCGAATACATCAATTTTTTTGTCTGTTGATGGCCTGTGGCCGAAACTACTTATCAAAAACAGATATTTTCGTGGTCGACAGACTTTGTGACTTCTATTGCTCATTCTCTCAATAATTATCTAATAGTCGACTAAATAGTCCTTCCTTTCTTTTTCTCATTCAATGGGTGGCTAATTGAAGACGCGTCCTACGCAACTAGAGCGTGTGATTGCCGAATAGTACCTGTACTACTATAGGTTACGCTATGGTTACGCTACTGCAACTCCACGTTCGCTTTCCGAGGAACGATTCATAAATCATGAATGAATTTTGATCTTCTCAAGCCGACGAATTGCCGATATTTTATATCAAGAAGGTTAGGCATTGTATGTTCTTGTGTTGCAACGTCTGTCATTTGTCAAATTCAATATAAGTCATCAAAAAACGAACATCTAGGATGATTAATATCCCTTTTTTTTTGCTTTTATTAATTACTAGCAGACCTCGCAATATTCATCAAGACTCTATATAATTATTTCATTTTCTACTTCTTTTTAGTTTCGCTATCTATAAAAGCGTGTTTCAAACTACCATTTCTTTCAACTTCTTTTGAGTTCACTGGAATTCCCCAATTTTGTCGGAAGAATCATAATATTCGACTCCAAGAACCTCAGATGAAAATTTCGGAAACATAAATACAAAACTCGTCCGTAATATTGGATCTACCATCTTGAATTCCCTAATTTTGACGAAGGAATCATAATTCTTGATCCCAAAAACGTCCACTTACAAATTTTTGATAGAATCGGTATATAATTACGAAACTCGTCCGGTATATTGGTTCCACCATCTTGAATTTCCAAATCCTACCCTTTCCAAATTTTGACGAAAGAATCATAATCTCCGGCCCCGAAAACACCCAGATAACAATTTTGAAGAGAGTCAGATCATAATTTCAATACTCGTCCGCCAAATTGGAGCCGCCATCTTGAATTTTCTAATTTTGACGAAAGAATAATAATCTTCTATCTCAAGAATCCCCAGATACCAACCAAATTTGAATAAAATCGTATCCGCCATTCTGGATCCGCCATCTTGAATTTCTGGATTTTGGCGAAGGAATCATAATCTCCGATCACGAAAACCCCTAGGTACCAATTTTGAAAAGAATCGGATTAAAATTACAAAACTCGTTCGTCATATATTGGTTCCGCCATCTTGAATTTACAAATTCCGCCCGAATTTTTAAATTCTGACGAAAGAATCATAATCGCCGACCCCGAAAACCACCAGATACCAATTCTGAATAGAGTCGGACCATAATTACAAAACAAATTAACAATCAAATCTTTCCTGTTTATAATATTAGTTTATAGATTGATTATCCAATGTATACACTGTCTTGTTGAAATGATTTTTCTGATGAAATTTGACAAAAATAGTGTGAAATACTGCCTATAGGGGAATTAAAGAGGTGGAACATTCATTTTCTAGATTTTCATAGGATTCTCTATACACGTTTCTAGAAAATAAATATATGCGTTTTATTTCTGTAACAGAATGTCCCTAAGAGGTCTATACAAAATATGATATGATATATGATAGGCTTCTGAGATGAAAGTGAGATGAATGAACAAAACCTACCTCTATATCAAAACGCTCCATTTTGCAATACCGTGTCTTTTTCAAATCGTGGAGCCACATATTGAATATCATTGATGATATGAACGAACGAACCTACAATTATTATTAAATAATTCTGATATTGCATTCTCATGTTGAAAACGAGAGCATATTTGATTTTTTATATAGATTCTCTGACAGTGACAGTCTGGGGCAAATCATCTGATTTGTTCTACAACACATCTATGGAAGTAATTCTCATATTTTTATTTTGTGAAGAGAAGAGAAAATCTCAAATAATCAAGAAAAATTAATGTCCCAACTCCTCGATTAACCTACAGACACTATAATTTCAGGTATATGCTTCGAATTGAATTTGGCCAATTAACATGCAAACCAGTATAAATATCATAAACTTTCAGGAGAGCAGAAATGAAAGGAATAAAAAACAACATTGAGAACTCTCAGAGAAAGTTCATTTAATTTCTCTATCAACAGTACTTCAAATATGTAACATCCTGGGGTGTTAATTTTTATGCATAATAGTCCTTTGAGTGTACCTACAGAATGATATCCATTGACATAGTTGTACCAAAAAAAAATCAATTCCGACGACCTGTAGCCGACTAAACAAAGCATTTCGGTGTAGATGTGAGTTTGGTTCAATCATCTCTCCTTGGTCTCAGGATATGGTATCATTTTGGCTTGTCTAATAGTCCAATAATTGTCTTCGATTGTGAAATAATGGAATAGGTACTTGTCGCTGTGTCAACACGACCGCAAGTAGTCAATGCCAAAGTTGGCTTCACAATTAGAGTTCACCGATAATTTCTCTGGAAGTGTCCCAATGAAGTGGGCGGTACCGCAAACGCACTATTGTTTCGGTCTTGCGTTCATTTTGCATAATAACGACACAGGCTTCGAGCAGCTTGAGCATACATTTCCATTTCAGTCTATCATAAATTTACCGAAATATCAACGGAACCTTATTGTATGAAAAGTTACTTAAATACAGGGCCCCCTTTATCAGACTTGATATTGACATTGAGTCACTGTCAAAAACACAGAAGATTTATTTGTATTCTGCAGTACTCAACTCAAAACAACACACTCACACTCACATGCTGTTTCAAACGGAGAATACATTCTCCTCAGCGAATGATTTTGAAAACCGTCATTAGAAACTGAATGGTTGATAGGCATGTGAGTGAACAATCAGGGCATGTTCAGGGTGTCCCACTTGAATGTGTAACCCACCTTTATCCTCGTGATTCTCAACATATTTAGGTCATATATCGAAGACTGGAATCTTTAGCACGATAATACACTACACACTGCTTCACCACTAACCAAACCGATTTTTTACACCTCGACACTATGTTAGCATCTTCAGGAGAAATTCCTATAATTTTCGAAGAACATCGTACGCACCTAGAATACTGTTCCCACATATGGGGTTCAGCACCAAAACATACGCTGATGCTTTTAGATTCCATCCAGAAAAGAGCCATTCGCCTGGTGGGTGACGCTACACTCACTTACTCTTTGACATCATTGAAACACCGTAGAAAGGTCGTCGACCTTTCACTTTTCTATCGATACTTCCACGGGAAATGTTCTTCAGAAATCTCTGCTATCATCCCTTTACTAGCAAGACCAGTCAGACGAACTAGACAAGCCCAGTCAGTACATCCTTTCGTTGTCAACCTCTAAAGATGTCGAACAGCACTTTATCAAATCTCCTTCATCCATAGAACGGCTAGAATCTGGAATTCATTGCCTGAGAAAGTATTCCCAACAACATATAATCTCCAGACGTTAAAAAAAATTCCAATTCCTACCTCCTGTCCCTATCCTCCCTAGGAATGCACGATGTTCTTTGAATATCATAGGAATTTCCTTTCGTGCGCACCAAGCGATGAAAAAAAAATATCCGTCGACTCAAGTTTATATAGACTTTTTTCCTAAAAGTGTCTCAGGAATAATTCATTTGAACATTCCAACTTATTCATTATTCACGTAACACCTTTTATATCTTCTGAGACACGCGAACCGCTATTATGTTCATTAACTCAATGCTCAAGACAAGCTCCTGTCGTTCCAATGTAAAAGATCATCAATATTAAGAACCATTCATCGATTGATGCACGAATACGTAGAGATACCAACCAACTAACCTCCTTTTCTTTTGTTCCAGTCATTCTTCGGCCGTTCCTACAACAACCTCAGCTCGATCTCCGAATGCAAAAACAACGGCGAGTGCATCATCAACAAGAAGAATCGCACAGCCTGTAAAGCCTGCCGCCTCAGGAAATGCCTAATGGTAGGCATGTCCAAAAGCGGGTCGCGCTACGGCAGAAGGTCCAACTGGTTCAAAATCCACTGTCTGCTGCAGGAACAACAACAGCAGCACCAGCAACACCAACAACACCAGCAGCACCAGTCGAACATGAACAACGTGGCACAATCAATGAAACCGCCCCAGAAAACACCACCCTTGCCGCACCCCTCCATGGGCATGGGTCTACTGGGCATGAGCTTCCCCCCACCATTCCTACACCTCCCCAAAACCAAGGAGGAGCTGATGCTCCTAGGGCTGGATGAATATAAGCACTCAGCTTCGCCTTCGGTCAGCTCTCCTGAATCCCATAACTCAGATTCTTCTGTAGAAGTTAGTGACGCTAGACGCCTACCGTTGATCCCTGGCTTGTTGCCCCCTACTTTCCTGCCACCTCCTGGCTTCCTCTTTCCTCCTGGCTACTCCCCTCTGTACCCAGGGCTTCTGCAACCTGCCAACAACAATAACAGACTCATGAGGAATCACAACCCTGGCGTCGAAGCTTTCAACAAGCGGATATTCTTGGATGCCGTGCTGCAATCGCAACGTACTCCAACCCCTGAGGAAATCGAGCATCCTGCACCTACCGAGTCGCCTATCCAAGAAGACCCTATTGACCTCAGTATGAAGACCAACAGCGATAGAGGGTCTTCTCCTGCGCATAGCGACCAATCAGGTTCTATAGACACTGAGAGGAATAACGGGAGTGAGGCTGATGAAGAGAGCGATTGTGATTCTGAGAGGGAACTGAAGAGGATAAAGTTGTTGAGGCCGACGCCTTTGGATCTTACCACGAAGGTGTGATAGTGTTGGGGCGATAGCTGTCAATGTGTTCTGTAGAGTACCTGATGCTTCGTGTCTATGACTGTGTTGTAGATGGTTCGGTTCATGGAGAGACCAACAGATAGAAGCATGGGAAACTGTTATGTTATGGTTGATACGATGATTCGCGAATGAATCTCAGGCTTTTTCCTGAATGCTTGATGACCACGTGGTTAGTATGGGCGCAACCAGATATGTCGCTATACGAACAATGCTAAATTGGCAGATTTCAAGGTCAATAGATGACGTTGCGATATCAATCAGCAATAGGAGAAGCATGTATGACTCTAAATCTGTTCCATGAGTGAGAAGAGTTTTTCTTTTGCTGAACGTCATAGTCACGTCTGATTATGACCTTGAAGTCCGCCATCTGTTACCATGAAAAGTACCTATGAATATGGTTAAGATTAGAGCTTCTCAATGTATTTTGAGACTTTTGTATTGACGTTTTTGGAAACTGTGACAAGCACTGACACTAATGAATAGATAAGAGAAGTGGGACATAAGAGTACTCGAACGTACATGTCATCAATTGAATGGGACGTCCTCGGAAAAAACGGGTCAAAGACTTGATAATCGAGAATTTCGAGCAGATATATTCAAAAATTGGAGGTTTATCAGTGAAGAAAAGTGAAAAATCCTGAATAAAATTAAAAAAACAATAAGATCTAGATACCAGAAATTATTTGAGTATGATCTGCTTCGAAATCAACTGTAATTGCTTGTCGAGTGTCCGTACTCTAAATATACAGGGTGATCAGTTAAGAGTAGCGAGCGGCCATATCTCATAAGATATTGGTCATATAGAGTTGAGAAAAAAAAATCATGATAGAAGTCGCCAAGAAAAATTGCTGGAAATTATTTTCGAGTTTGTCGAACGTCCGGTAGAGGGCGTAACAACCAACACCAAGTCGAAAAATGGGATTTTCATAGAATTTTTTTCAATGGAAGTATATGGATGATATCATTTTCATATTCACTGACCATTTCCCTACATTTTTTGTCTAGAACGTTTTGTTCTATCTATCAAAATAAAGCGGTGGGGGAAGTTCAATTGTTTTTTTAAACAAACCAAGATTTCTCTCCTATTTATTTCAACCGATTTCAGCAAACTTAGGCTTATATGATAGAACATAGTTTGCCCTACAAAACGCTTATTTGGTTTTGGATTTTTGACTTTTGCTGTCGCCGCTAGATGGCGTTAACTGAAATGTTAGCAAATTCTTGAGTTTATTTAAAAAAAAACAAATGTAATGGTATATTAATTTCAATATTTTTCGAAAGAGGATAAATTTCTTTACAATTCAAAGAAAATAATTTATCATTTAACTTTTTATAACCCTTGATATTGACTGAAATATAATTTTATACACATTTAAAAATGGCACGCCACTGTTTTTTATCAAAATGAGAATCAGTTTTGTTATCTCTCATTAGTTGCTAACAAAAAGAACCTCGTGACTCTTTTTCGTTAGAAAAACGGTTTTGGATTGAAAAAATAAAATAGGTTTACATACTGGTTCAAATTCATTTTAGATATATGCGCGCCCGATGTAAACACATTTTATTTTTTCAATCGAAAACCGTTTGTCTAACGAAAAGAGTCAAGGGATTCTTTTTGTTAGCAACTAATAGGAGATTACAAAACTGATTTTTTCTAATGAAAAACAGTGGCGTGCCATTTTTGAATGTAATTAAGTTATATTTTAGTCAATATTAACGGTTCAAAAAAAGGTAGACTACTAGAAACTATTTTCATTGAATTATAGAGAAATTCATCCTCTTTTGGAGCATATAAAAATTAATATTCCTTTACATTCGTTTTTCTGAAATAAACTACAAAATTTGCTAACATTTCAGTTAACACCTTCTAGTGGCGACAGCAAAAGTCAAAAATTCAAAACAAAATGACCATTTTGTAGGGCAAATTATGCTCTTTCATATGAGCCTAAGTTTGCTGAAATCGGTCGAAATAAACGGTAGAAATCTTGGTTTGTTTAAAAAAAACAATTGAACTTCACCCACCGCTTCATTTTGATAGATAGAACGAAACGTTTCAGACAAAAAATGTGAGGTAATGATCAGTCAGTATGGAAATGATATCATCGATATACTTTCATTGAACAAAATTTTATAAAAATCCCATTTTTCTACTTGGTGTTGGTTGTTACGACCTCTAGCGGACGTTTGGCAAACTCGAAAATAATTTCCAGCAATTTCTCTTGGCGACTTTCATCATGATTTTTTTTTCTCAAATCTATACGACCAATATATTACGAGATATGGCCGCTCGCTACTCTTAACTGATCACCCTGTACAAACACGTTGAGACAAAAGAGTACAATACATTAAGGAAATCTAATCATAACACTTTTTCGTGGTAGAAGTGACATTGATTGTGGTTGTGATCATGTTAACCAGAATATTGTTGAAAATAAGATGTGGAATAATTGGGTAAACTGCTTTGTGAACGATATTGTGAACTCGTGCTAGCAATATCGTATTCGTTTATAGTTAAATTAATAATTTCAGCGTAAAAGCTATAATTTATCCCCTTATAAAGAGGTTTCTGTGAAATTTTCCGCCAATCTATGGCTGCTATCTCGATACACGATCACCTTTAATAGTCTCATAAACCAAGGATAATGACCGAATCTCGGCTTATTGATAATGCGGACGAACCTTAGAAATTGGATTCCTACAGGGTGATTGTTTCAAACTTCAAACTCAATTAAACTTTCGATGGAACCAAATGCTGGAATTCTTCCATTCGAATTTCATTTAATTCTGACTCTATTAATAAGTGATATCTATAATATGAATATTGAATTATGAAAATTCCAAATTTGGCGGCTTGAGCAACAAAATAACTTATCTTCTCAACTGCAACTTCTTATGCATAGAAAAACAATGACTCCGAATCTAAAGCAAACCCAATGCCACTTGAGAAATAGATTCTTTCGAATTGTGAACAAATTTCAACATTGATCTGAAATTTTCAAACATCCACTGAATTCTTAATTGAATCAGTTAATGATAACATCATGTAAGTCATTTGTATACTAACATCATCACCCATTCAAATATGCCAACATCAGTATGACACTGAGTGTTAAACTGATTAGAATTTTCGAAGAAAAATATTTTGCATTTTTTTGTTGAGATATAGGGAGCAGATTCGTTCCCGAAACGTCCAAAGATAAGTAAAAATTCAATATTTTTTCAATATATCTATATTTCTTTCATTCAAACTTTTTTTCGAACAAAGTGTCACTGAAGCTATTGAATTTTTCTTTCAGTCTTCCTGATAGGAGAATTTGTTAAACGCAGTGAGATTTTGGGGCAATTCATCTGATTTGTCCTACTACACATACAGGGTGTATCTAAATAACACCGAAAAAATTCAAGAGGTGATTCATTGTGATATTCTAGCAAATACAGTCTATATAAAAACATGTATCCTCACTTGCTCCGTTTTTGAGATACAGGATGTTGAAGTTGGAAGTATCAATTGTTTTTATTTGTAACCAAAATTCAGTATGGTTGGAGACTGAGGAAGCCATACAATTTCAAAATGATTGTGATTGGGGCTATTGAGTAATCCCATTGGAATTCTTGAACACCCCTACAGTAAAATTTGGAGTCGAATCGATGTTTTATTGTTTTTGGACATAAATAATAGTACCTTCTGAAAACGAACCCTCTTATGACGTAGAAACCTCTTCTCGTCATAGTTGAAAGAAAATACCAAACGCCCGACGGAGACTGAGGTAACTGATATATTAATTCTTTCAACTGTGATCTCGCGCTAATTCACTCTGTCAGAAATCATGTATCATTCATCTCTGTCTGGAATAGTCTTGTTTCAGTATTGGGGTTTTGACGTCACATCATCGCCTCGGTTCCAGAGGTCCAAAAAATCGGGGATTTCAATAATTTTTTATAAAAACTATGGAGCTCGCAGCAAGAAACGGTTTGTGGTGGTGATATAAGCCCATTGCACCAGAAAAATCTCTATATTACTATAAACAGAACAACGACGTTATATTGAAATTGATAGAAAGACAATTGCGTAATAAATAAAAAAACGATTTTTCATGGAAATATTGATACCCTGTATGTCGTAAACGAAGCAAGTTATGACACATGTTCATATGAACTTTATTTCCTAAAATATCACAAGGAATCGCCATTTGAATTTTTTTGGTGTTATCCAGATGCAGTATATTGAAATACTACTCATATTTTTATTTCGCAGAAACGAGGAGAGAAAATACCAAATGATGTGACACCTCCTCGATTAACCTACAGACAGAATTCAGACTTTAATCTATCAACATCCATCATCAGCTCATATTTTTCATACACGAGTCTAGATTCCTCATTTCTGTTTTTGACACCTCTGGATATGTCAACTCCAAAGCTATGAGCTAAATTTTCGTTTCCGAATGTTTCGTTTAAAAAAATAGACATTTTCAGACGAATCTGTTGCTATTGAGGTATCTTAAGGTGTAAAATATGAAGTTGAAGATGTTTGTTGGAAGACGAAACGTTCGATTTCAAATTCGAAAACCTCGACTTATAGGGGACACTGGCCATGTTAACGTGTCATTCATGTATTCCAATTTCTTGAAATAATTTGGGAAGGTTCTTTTCGTATATCTCCGGAAGTATTCGGAATTTTTCAAGGTTGTAATGATTCAACCGACTATGATTGTATATTAGTCACGTTCGGTATTTACATCGCAGATTAGAGCAGATTCTAGTCACGTGGTCACAGATAGATCGGAGCGATCGGCAATAAACGAACGAAGTGGACATTTTGTTGACAGTGTGACGGTATCCTAACCTAACCCCATTTATTTATTTCATTTATTTCCATTTCAATATGAGTATACCAGAAATTTTCTTCTTCTTGTTCTTTTTTCAAAAGAATCGCAGCCAGAGTCAAATCTTTAAGAACAAATTTTAAAAAATAATTC